TCTGTGGGCGCAGAGCTGTCTTGAGAGGGCGGCTCTGGGCTGGATCCAACGCCAGCGGGGAGCTGGTATTTGTGAGCAGCCACAGGCCTGGGGAGGGGGCATTTCTACTCCCCTGACCAATGAGAACTCCGAGCTGAGGCCCCAGCCGGTGCCAGTGTGGCCTGAATCTGTCCCGTCCCACGTGTGGGCGAGCTCTGGCCCTGGGCCATCATGGCAGTGACCAGGACACACGGCTCTGGCACACGTGGTGACAGGAGATCAAACAGGAATTAAAAAGTGAACAAACAAGGGTACCTGGGGGAGGGGGTGCTGGGCTGAGAATGGGTGGGGGGCCGGGAACCGGGAGGGCTCTGGGCGCAGCCGTGGAGCTGTGGAATCTCGGAGTTGGACGCAGGAAGGGGCCGGAGCTTTCCGGGCAGAGGGAATGGCCAGTGCAGGGCCCCACAGCTGGGACAGGGTGCACTGGGGAGAGGGGCGGGTGGGAGGTGACACGAGAAGGGGGCAGAGGACAGGGTGGGGGCCCTGGAGACCCCAGCATGGGTTCTGTTCCACACGGAGGACTGGGTGTCCACAGGGGTGTCCTCGAGGCTGGGCCCTTGAGGTCCCCTTGGCCATGGAGAAGAGAATGCGTGTGGGTGCCAGGAATGGGTTGGGTGCCAGGAATGGGTTGGGTGCTGCTGGCACTGTCTCAGCAGGAGGTGGGGTGGCCACGGCGGGAATGGAGGGACACAGTTCCAGGCTTCTCTGGAGGTGTCGATGTCGGGGTGGGGACCAGAGGGGTTGAAGCTGCCCCGCGGACTTTTGGTGGAGGAATGTGGACAGGGAAGCGGGAGGAGCCCGGGGGCCATGACCTCGGAGCGCAGAGCTGGGAGGACAGCGGGGTTTGGGGTGTGGCCGTGGAGACAGGACCACCGTGCAGTGCTGGGGAGAGGAGGTGGCCGAGGGCCCAGTGGCTGTGGACAGGTAGGGGTAGGGCAGGAGCCAGGGACGGGAGTGGCGGCTCAGAAACCCGGAGGAGAACCCGCTTCAGGAAAGAGCAGGCGGCTGCGTGGGCCAAGTGTGCCGAGAGGCAAGTCGGATAAAAATAGGATGTGCCCTGTGGAGCTGGCAGGACGGAGGTCGTCAGCGACCTTGGTGGGAACCAGCCCAGAGGGCGGAGGATGGACATGGAGGACGAAGTGAGGAGGGGCCACCGGCTCAAGGACGCTCACCGTGACAGGGGAGGGAGAGATGGGCAGGGGGCATTCAGGTCAGGTTTGTTTATGGAAGGTTCTAGAATGACGAGGTCCAATATAACAGCCTCCAGCCCCATTTCTGGCGTTCAGTAGCCACACGTGACCAGCAGCTACCCTGCTGGATGGCACACAAACAGAGCCTCTCACCCTCTGATTGAGTCCCCTGGGCGCCCCGCCACTTGCGGCACAGTTGTGTTTGGACAGGGTCAAAGTCGCAGGGACTGGGGGAGACGGAGTGACGCAGGAAGTGTCAGAGGATTGAGGGTCGGCATGGTGGTCGTGGGGTGACAGTGGCTCCAGCCTCTGTGTCTCCCTGATGCATGAGGCCCAGGGCTCCGGGGAACAGGTGTGAGTTGAGGGGAATCTCAGGCCTGGGGAGCAGCCCCTGGGGGTTCCCTGGAGGACCCACGCCCCCTCCTGACCTGTGGTCTCCTCCTGCTCAGGGCCCAGAGCCTGGGGTGCAGGGGGGTGGGGCCCGGTCTGCCACAGGGGAGCACGCACCGCCCTCCACGCTGGCCCTCCGCCCCGTGCTGTTCTGGAAACATGTGATGAGTGAATTACTGAGCAGGGGTGGGGGCAGGTGTGAGGGTGACTCAGGGAGGGGTGGGGGCAAGAGAATTACAGAATGGGTGAGTGACTGAGCCCAGCGGGGGTGTCTGGGGCCACCCGTGGTGCCCTCAGAGTCTTCCTGGGGCACTTGCCGGTTCCCCCGCAGCTGTCCCCTGTGCCAGGCCCGCAGGTTTGCCCTCTCGGGCCCCCAGACCCCAACTGCCACAGCCCCGACGGGAGCAGGCATGGGCCTGACTCATTTTGTGGCCTTGCACAAGTCCTTCTGTCTCTGGGCCTCAGTTTCCCCATTGTAAAGTGAGCTGTGAAACAAGAATGTTGGGGTCCTCTCAAGGCTGGGGATGTGGGGGCTGTGGAGGGGCCAAGTGCTCCCTGAGAGAATGGAGGGTCTGTTCTTCCTCACTCAAGGGGTGTCAGCCACACTGGGTTGGGCAGCCACCAGATTCAGGCCCATTGGCTAGCAGGTGCGCACAAGGGGGGATCTGGAGGGAGGGGGGGCCAGGCTGTGGGGGGGGAGGGGGACTTCCGACCCACCGGCCTACGCCTGCTCACCATGGTCCAGGGCAGATGTCAGCCCAGAGGGAACCGCAGGCTGGGGATGGGCCCTTCCTCCCTCATCACACAGGCAGTCTAGCCCGATGGAGGAGGTTCTAGCACAGGTGGGGGCGGGGCGGCCAGCACCACTCACAAGGCACCCAGCTTGAGACATGGATGCCTAGACTGTCCACGGGGGCCTGTGGTGGCAACAAAAAGGGCTGGGAGGTGGGGTCGGGGGGAGTGATTGGGGCGCCACAGTGCCCAAGGGGCCTCAGAGGTGCCGGCCACCCATCTACTTAGGCAGGGCAGGTCCCCACAGCACTGGCAATGCACAGGGGGAACCCCGGGGGATGTGGAGCTACACCTGTGTCTCCCGCACCAGCCCACACCTGGCTGCCCCGTCGGGCCACTCACAGCCACAGCAGCTCTGCCCAACGCCCCACCAGACACAGCCTGTGCCCAGTGCCCACCAGTGCACGCCTGCAAGCAGACCTGTGCATGGGGCAGAGCTGCCGTGGCGCACACGTGTGCGCACAGGCACAGAGCCTGGCACGTGTGTACGAGGACCCACGTGTGCAAACACGTGTGTAGGTGCTCATGCACACAAACGCGTGTGAACCCCGTGTGCACGCAGCCCTCAGAGCCACAGGTCAGCATGGCCACGGCTGGGGAGTGCCTCCCGGCGGCGCCTGTGATAAGGGCTCGTTCGGCCCTGTAATCCTCCTTACCTTGACTTTGGGTTATTTTGAGCAAGAGATTAAGGTGATTACGATTGTGGCTGAGGCGCCACACTTCTTACACGCCTCCTGTGCGGCAGCCCGTCCAGGCTCTCCCAGGGGCTGCCACCCACCTCTGCCTGAGGCTGGGCTCTCCAGGGCCGGCCACCTGTCACAGGTTGTCGGGCAGCTGGAGGGAGGTGGCGGAGGCTGTGCCACGTGGCCGCAGGTGCTCACCGACACGGGGCGGTGACAGAGAGGAAGCGCTCCCCGTGAGTGTGGCACTTACATCACACCCAGGCCACGTGAGGACCCCGCCCCCTTAGCGTCCACACGGGCTCCCAGGCCCGCCCCATCCTGCGGGAGCCATCCCTGGGCGTCCAGCCCTGCCGGGCGTCCCACAGGGAGTTGGGGGCAGTTCCCGGGTCCCCAGGACCCCTCCGCAGCCCCACCCCATCTGACTGCTCCTCTGTCTGTAAATCAGAAATAGACTCTTCTCCGGGAACCACAGGAAAATTGTTCTTTATGAAGTTTCCAAAGGGAGGAAAAATCGTTTCACATCATTATATTTTTTTCTCCCAATTTAAACCGCCTCAGTGCAGACTAGTTGCCAACGTCAATATCAGTGAAATACACTCGGCTGGCCGCCTGCCAGGCCACAGGGCGGTCACAGAGGCTGCTGTCAATCCAAACATCAGCACACACACAAACGCCCATTTCTCCGTCCTGCGGGAGAAACACGGGCAGGAGGTGGGGTCCCAGGCTCCCCAGACGCAACTCCAGCCTTGTCTGCAGGTCCCCCTGCCTGGGGGCTCCCTCCCTGCGGCCCAACGGTCACATTCTTGGGCACATGCCCAACAGGCACTCAGGGGATGAAGGAGGCACAGCCCTGCGCTGGAGAAGCTCATGGCCTGGGGAGCTGAGGGGCAGAGCAGAAGATGATCTCGCACAATCGTCGGGGGGGAAGGGGGAGGAGTCCTGTCCCCCAGGGACCGTGGAGCTGTCCTTATCCCAGCCCGGGGAGGACGTGCAGAGTCTTTCCCTGCAGGACACTGCCGGGCTCCACTAGGGTGAGGTGGTGACAGATCCACATCCGGCCTCTAGGTAGACACCTCAGAGACCATCCATCCAACTGGCTCATTTGGGGAAACTGAGGCCCAGAGGGGGTGTGGTGTGCCCAGGCCACACGGCAGAAGAGCTCAGTCCCAAGTCCCTGGACAGGCCAGAATACGTCCCTCTGAGAGGGCTGGAGGGGACCTGAGCTCTGGAAGGATCCTCTGCCATGGGGGAGGACACATGTGCGGTGCTTAGGGCTTCCTGCAGGCAGCTCTGAGGGCACTGTGGCCAGGGCCCCTGGGAGCAGAAATGCCATCCTGACCCTCCAGGTGTGCAGGGAGTGCCCAGCGAGGTCTTTCACACGAGTGTCCCGGCCGGAGCAGCCCTGTCACTCGTCGGCCAAGCAACCCTGGGTTTCGCCCCCCGGCCTGTCTCCTCATCCAGCTAGGGCTGTGCTGAGTGTGAGGCGGGCTGCCCGGGTCTCTATTCTGTGCATCACCAGACCTGGCAAGTAGGTATGTCATGTCTACTTTGCAGATGAGGAAACTGAGGCCAGAGGCCTGTCCTGTGTCAGGCCCCCAGGGTGCCTCTGAGAGAGGGGCACTGTTTTCCTGAGTTTTGCAATAGGCTCAGAGGGGCTCGGCTGAGCTGGGACTCAGGCCACACCTAAACTCTGGACCTGTACAGCCACAGTCTCCTGACCGCTTTCTTTTTTGTCTTGCAGCAGGAACACCAGGCAGGAGGAGCTGGTGGCACTTTCTGGACACCAGGCCCGGGGAAGGAGGCCTTGGCCCCCTCAGCTCTGGGGTGGCAGAACGGTGGCTGGCCGTGAAGGAGGCACCCTCCCTCCCCACGCTCGGGCTTGCGGCCATGCAGTTTGGGACAGGACACCCCTGAGAGCGCAGGCACCTCCCCCTCCTGCCCCTCTGTCCTGCTGGGGGCTGCTGCCAGCCTCCCACCCAGTCCCCCGGGCAGGCTGAGCGGGGTCTCCCTCGAGGGGCGGTCCTGATGGCCGGGCGCGGGTGGGGTGCCCTGTGGGTGTGCGTGGCAGCCGCCGCCCTGCTGCACGTGGGCGGGCTGGCCCGCGGAGACTGCTGGCTGATCGAGGGCGACAAGGGCTTCGTGTGGCTGGCCATCTGCAGCCAGAACCAGCCGCCCTACGAGGCCATCCCGCAGCAGATCAACAGCACCATCGTGGACCTGCGGCTCAACGAGAACCGCATCCGCAGCGTGCAGTACGCCTCGCTGAGCCGCTTCGGCAACCTCACGTACCTCAACCTCACCAAGAACGAGATCGGCTACATCGAGGACGGGGCCTTCTCTGGCCAGTTCAACCTGCAGGTGCTGCAGCTGGGCTACAATCGGCTGCGCAACCTGACCGAGGGCATGCTTCGCGGCCTGAGCAAGCTGGAGTACCTGTACCTGCAGGCCAACCTCATCGAGGTGGTCATGGCCAGCAGCTTCTGGGAGTGCCCCAACATCGTCAACATCGACCTGTCCATGAACCGCATCCAGCAGCTGAGCAGCGGCACCTTCGCGGGCCTGGCCAAGCTGTCGGTGTGCGAGCTGTACAGCAACCCCTTCTACTGCTCCTGCGAGCTGCTGGGCTTCCTGCGCTGGCTGGCGGCCTTCACCAACGCCACACAGACCTACGACCGCATGCAGTGCGAGTCGCCTCCCGTGTACTCCGGCTACTTCCTCCTGGGCCAGGGCCGCCACGGCCACCGCAGCATCCTCAGCAAACTGCAGTCTGTCTGCACCGAGGACTCCTACGCGGCTGAAGTGGTCGGGCTCCTCCCAGCACCGGGCCGTTCACAGCCAGGCCGCTCCCCGCCCCCGCCGCCGCCAGAGCCCAGCGACTTGCCCTGTGCCGACGACGAGTGCTTCTCTGGGGACGGCACCACACCGCTGGTGGCCCTGCCCACGCTGGCCACGCAGGCCGAGGCCCGTCCCCTCATTAAGGTCAAGCAACTGACACAGAACTCGGCCACCATCACTGTCCAGCTGCCCAGCCCGTTCAACCGCATGTACACCCTGGAGCACTTCAACAACAGCAAGTCGTCCACCGTGTCCAGGCTGACCAAGGCGCAGGAGGAGATCCGCCTGACCAACCTGTACACGCTCACCAACTACACCTACTGCGTGGTGTCCAGCAGCTCGGGGCTGCTGCACAACCACACCTGCCTCACCATCTGCCTGCCCAAGCCGCCCAGCCCGCCGGGCCCCGCGCCCAGCCCCTCCACCGCCACCCACTACATCATGACCATCCTGGGCTGCCTCTTCGGCATGGTGCTGGTGCTGGGCGCCGTGTACCACTGCCTGCGCAGGCGGAGGCGCCAGGAGGAGAAGCACAAGAAGGCGGCCTCGGCGGCCGCAGCCGGCAGTCTGAAAAAGACCATCATCGAGCTCAGATACGGGCCTGAGATGGAGGCTCCTGGCCTGGCCCCGCTGTCCCAGGGCCCACTGCTGGGCCCCGAGGCCGTGACCCGCATCCCATACCTGCCAGCAGCCGCCAGCGATGTGGAGCCGTACAAGCTGGTGGAGGGTGGCGAGACGCCCAAAGCCACCAAGGGCAACTACATCGAGGTGCGCACGGGGGAGCAGCCGGAACGCAGGGACTGCGAGCTGGGCCGGCCGGGCCCTGACAACCAGACCTCGGTGGCCGAAATCTCCACCATCGCCAAGGAGGTGGACAAGGTCAACCAGATCATCAACAACTGCATCGATGCCCTCAAGTCCGAGTCCACCTCCTTCCAGGGCGTCAAGTCCGGGGCTGTGTCCACGGCCGAGCCGCAGCTAGTGCTGCTGTCAGAGCCGCTGGCCGGCAAGCACGGCTTCCTGTCGCCGCCGCCGTTCAAGGACACGTTCGGCCACGGCCTGCAGCGGCACCACAGCGTGGAGGCGGCCGGGCCCCCGCGCGCCAGCAGCTCCGCGGGCGGCTCCGCCCGCAGCCCCCGCGCCTTCCGTGCCGAGGCCGCCGGCGCGCACAAAGCCGCGGGCGCGGAGACCAAGTACGTGGAGAAGAGCTCGCCCGCAGCTGACGCCATCCTCACGGTGACACCCGCAGCCGCAGTGCTGCGGGCCGAGGCCGAGAAGGGCCGCGCGTACGGGGAGCACCGGCACTCGTACCCCGGCTCCCACCCCGAGCCGCCCGCGCCGCCCGCGCCCCCGCCACCGCTCGAGGGCCTGGGCGGCCGCAAGGCGTCCATCCTGGAGCCACTGACGCGGCCGCGGCCGCGCGACCTGGCCTACTCGCAGCTGTCCCCGCAGTACCACAACCTGAGCTACACCTCCAGCCCCGAGTACACCTGCCGGGCGTCCCAGAGCATCTGGGAGCGCTTCAGACTGAGCCGCCGGCGGCACAAGGACGACGAGGAGTTCATGGCCGCCGGCCACGCCCTGCGCAAGAAGGTCCAGTTCGCCAAGGACGAGGACCTGCACGACATCCTGGACTACTGGAAGGGCGTGTCCGCCCAGCACAAGTCCTGAGCCCCCGCGCCCGCCCCTCGCCCGAAACTCGTGATGCCCTTGGACCAAAAAGGATACAAGATCCACCGCAGCTATTTGTAACCCAGAGACTCTCACCAGGAACCCACACGCGCGCACGCACAATGGCCGCCTGGGCCAGCGGGGGCGGGGGGCCGGTTGACAATCCCAAGAAACCATCTTGGCACTCGTGGGACCTGCCCCACCTGTGCGTGCAGTGTACACACACACACACACACACACACACACACACACACACACACGGGACTCGGAAAACTGTGTCTTAGGGCTGGGAGGTGGGGGGGGATTTTTTTCCATTCTTTCCTTTTTTGATTCTCTGCCTTTTTTGTTTTGCCTCTTTATTTTCTTCCTTTTTTAAAAAAAATAATAAAAGTCGAGTTCTTTTAAAAAGACATAAAACACCATCCGTGGGGGCCGTGGCCGGTGTAGCAACCTCGGCCCCACGGTGGTCTCCTCAGTCTGTGACCTTCTGTGAGTCCTCTGTCCAGCTGTCTTCGTGGCGCCTCCAGAGTCCACCACCGAGGAGCAGAGTGAACGCGCCGGCCAGTGGCCCCAGGCGTGTCCTGGAGCCCTGCGGACTCTGGACTGGGGGCAGAGGCTGTGCCTGGGGATGGGTGAGGTGGCCAGGAGGGTCAGGGCTGGGATATGGCCCCAGCCCAGTCCCCGTTGTACATTGTAGTCGTTCTATTGTACAGAAAAGAAATATTTCTATATTTGCAATGTTTGCTGTAAAATGAGAAAGAAAAAAAAGACTATGTCTACTAAAAAAAAAAAAAACAATCTGCAAAGGAAAAAAATCCAAATACTTGTTTCGTCCCATCCTTCCCGGCATCAGGCTGTGGGTTTCAAGGAAAGATTTGGGGTGTCTTTTATGCCCAGTTTAGGGGGTGGTTTTATTGATTTTGGGCACACGAGAGGGACAGAGGTGGCTGAGGCTGCCCCTGCGAGTCTGACCGTGCGTGTTACCGTGTGTGTGCAGACCCGCAGCCGAGTGGTGGATGGCAGGGGGCGGCCGGGAGTGGGTGTGAGCTGAGCAGTTGGAGTGTGTCTGTGTGGGGGTGGGCTCCCTGCAATGGGCCCCCCAAAGCTGCAGTCCGAAGCCGATCCTCTCTGCCCCTCCACCTGCATCTCGCCCACCCCAGCCTCCAGGCAGCCTGCCCTGGTGTGACCCCGAATTCCAAGTGAATAAGTGGTTGGAGTCCAAGTAGGAACAGCACCAGGCTGTTCAAATTCCACCTACCCCAGGAGCCAGAGCAAGACTGTGAGGAGGAGACTCCATTTCCAAGCCCTCAAGCCCACTCCAGGAACCCCCCTACCCCTGCAGCCCTGGGCCCCACGGCGCTGTCTTCTGGGGGCGGGAGGGCAGGCCTTGCCTGGACCCCCCCGCCCCGCAGCCTGGGCTGCGGGAGCCAAACCTCCCAATCTCCATTCTCTGCCAGGCCCGGCCAGCCCCTTCTCCCTAAAGGCCCTGGTGGCTGAGCCCCTCCCCAGCCCCGTCCAGGGCAAACTCATTCCCAGCCTGCAGCGACACAGACCCGTGACATGTGAGGCTGGAGTCAATGTGAGCCCCGGGACACTGGCTTGTAGGACCCAGCGTGATGGAACTGGGCTTGCAGGCTCCGATGGGTCCCCCTCCAGCCTGGCCAGCAGGGCGAGGAGGGACGGAGGAAGGGCGGCAGAGGGATAAGGGCTGTGGGCATTGACTACTTGCATAGCCTCAGTGACAGGAAGCTCACCCCTTCCCTTGGTAGCTATTTCCAGCTTTTAGGACCTTCCTTAGACTGAGTGGAAATCCGCAGTCTGCTGCAGGGTCCCACTCTGGCTCTGGGCACCCCAGGGGTCACAGAGCTACCTCCTGGGCTGCCTCTTTCAGGCCAGCTGGCCCTGCCCTGCCATCTTCACTCAGGTGACCCCACCAGGGACTTGGGGGAGCCCCAGGGGCACAGGTGACTGAGCCCCTCCTGAGTGAGTCATTTCGGAGGATGCCACACACCCTGCTTTTGTTTTTGACCCACAGGCCTCAGGCCCAGCCCTCTCCCCACCCTGGGCAACCCCTCGCTCCCCCCGAGGGTCCTGGGAGGGCTGTGAAGGGCAGCTGAGGACATGTGCGTGGGCCGTAGATGCGAGGCCAAGCCCAGGGGAGCGGGAGCAGGGAGAGGGCTCTGGAGCCAGGGCTGGTGGGAGGAGGCCCAGAGAGGGGACTGCCTTGCCCAAGGTCACACAGCAACTCGGTGACGGTCTGGTCATGGGACAGGAGAGGGTGGCCAGGCCTTTTCTGCTGCTGCTCCCTTTCACTGAACAGACAAAATGGGCTATTTATAGGGAACCCAGGAGAGGACGGACACGGAGTAGAGGTGTCTGCCTTGGGTAGCAGGGCAACTGGCCAGGCGGGCCAGGTGTGCGGATGGGGCAGGTTACTGCAGAGAGCTGCTGCTGAGCAGGGGCCCAAGGGAGCCCTTGAGAAAACACGGCAGGAGGAGAGGGTGTGGGGGTCTCGACAGCCAGGACGCCCAGCCCAGGAGCCCAGAGCCTCCCAGGGGCAGCCAGGGCTGACAGAGGCAGCGCCTACACAGTGCCCGATGCCCAGCCATGCCTGGGACAAAAGCCTGTGTGCCCCCGCACCCTTGCCTGAAGGAGGTCATAGTGGAGTTGACAAGACACATACAGGAGAAGACGCACACATTTATGAAGCGCCTACTGTGTGCAGGGCTCTGTGCCAAGCACTGTGTGAGCCCAGGGAGGTGTCCAACCCAGTCCCTGCCCTCCAGGAACTGATGGGCTAGCAGGGCACTCATAGTGGAGGGAGGTGACCCCATTCAGGGTGACATAGGAGCTCCAGGGAAGGATGGGAACTCCTGGCTGGGAAGAGCCTGGAAGGCACCCCAGAAGAGGTGGTGTCTGGTTTGGATAAGCCAGGAAGGAGGGTGAGGCTGCAAAGATGGGAGAGGCTTGTGTCTGGGGGCTTAGAGCTGGGCTCAGGGTGTAGGACAAAAGAGACAAAAGCTGGAATCGGTGCCAGCTCTGAGGGCAGCCCCGGAGGGCAGCTCTTGTCTGTCTGCGGGATGGTGGGGTTTGGAAGCCGAAAGCCGGGGCTCACCCCAGGCCCTGCCCCTTACAACTGCATGACCACAGTGAGCCCCTTGACCTCTCTGAGTCCCGGTCTCCTTGTTTGTCCCGTGGGGGGGATGCTGACACCTGCCCCCTCTCCCACTGCATGGTGCTGCCAATCACGGTTAGATTGAACACATGTCAGGTGGCTGGGGGGGGGGACAAGGGGAGCTTTGCCCCCCGACATTTCTCACACTCCTGCAGGCTAGCCGAGGGAGCAGGCCCCAGCGGTCACATCTGCTAGCATTCCACAGGCCAGAGCAAGTCACAAGGCCAAGGTCACCCCTCACCAGGGGCACGTGGCAAAGGGCATGGGCAGGGAGGGGCCAGATGCACAGCTGAGCCCCAGGTTTCTCCCTCACGGGGCAGGCGGCAGCGTGCACAGAGCAGAAAGCCCCAGATGTCCCTAGGTTCCAGCTGCTCATGTGCTCATTCTGCATTCAGCCTCAGCGCATCTACTGCGTGCCGGACAGGCCAGAGGCATCAGTGAAGCCTGTGCCCTGCCCTTGCGAGTATATCAGCCATGACCCCAACAGGAGAGAGGTGACACCCCAAAATGGACTAATTCAAGGTGCTTTGCCTACACAGGGACCATTTCCAGAGGGAGGGTGTAGGGGACCCACAAGCCATGCAGCAGCCAGGCTGACAGCACGAGGGGGGGAGGAGGTGGTTACTGGAAGCTGGGAGGGGAGAGAGCTGTGCAGAGAGGCCCATCGGCACCCTGGAGAGGGGCCTCAGTGGAGGGTCACAGCCAGCCCAGCACCCTTGCAAGAGGGGCTGGGGATACGTGCCTGAACTCGCTCTCCTCCTTCTGTCCCTACCCCCATCTGCTGGCTGAATGGCCAGGGAACCAGGAGGCAGGGAGCTCCAAGGCGGGCCAAGTGGGTCAGCCCACAGACACCAGTGGCCAGGAGGGCTGGGAGACAAGGGGACGATGAGAAGAGGCCACCACAGAGGAGGGAGCTGTCATCCCACTGGGGAGGGGAGGCTTCTCAGGGGAGGGGTGACTCAAGACCTTGAAGGACGAACGGGAGCCGGCACAGTCGTGAGGCGGAGTGGGCGACAGGGGAGGGACTTCCATCCAGAGGGAACTGCAAAGAGTGCACAGACCCCGTGCCCACCCAGAGGGGCATGTAGGTGCAGCTGGGGGTCGGAAGCTGGGGCTGCAGTGGGGCTGGCCCTGCTGAGACCAGGGAGGTGGGCTGGAGCCCGCTCTGCAAGTGTGAAGAAATCAGAGTTGGGCTCTGGGCCGTAGGGAGCCGCTGATGGTATTTTAAAGAATAATAACTTTTATTGATTTTTTTTCCTTATCTCAAAAGTAATCCTTATATTACCTAAACTTTAGAAAACAGTTAAACATAAAGAAGAAAATAGAAATCACTTGCTCTCCCCATCCTGAGCTAACTGTGGTAACATTTCGGTATCTGTCTTCCTAGTCCTTGTTCTCTAAAAATGCAGCAGGCTTGAAGTCTCTACGTTGCAACCAGATGTGCAAAGAAGCCTCTCTTTGTTCTCTGTAACAGCCCATCTCAGTCCAGGGCCTCCATCCCCTCTGATGGGGTGTAGGGTTTGGTGCATAAAGCTGGGGCCATAACTGCGCTTGCAGGACCCCAGGGAGAAAAAGTGGTAATGAAAGTGGTGCACAGAGGAGAGAATTGCTGGAACATGTTTGAGTAAGAAGGGATGAGACGTGCTGCTCAATGGGAGGGTTGGCTTTGGCTAGCACCATGGACAGCGCCTCTGTCGTGGCAGGAGAGAAGGCAGGTGCATGCGTGGCATGCAGGGCAGGGCACAGGGCATTCTATTTGGTCATTGCAACTTTCTCAGCACCCTTTCTACTCCACTGCATTGCTTTTTTTTTTTTTTTGAGACAA